AGACCTGAATTCTAATTCTTGCTCCCTCTGCCATCTCTTAATCCATGATCCTGAGTGTATTATTACCTCATTTTCCGGAGTCTCAATACTCTCATCTATAAAATGCAAACAATGATAGATGCTCAGCATGATCAGTGTGAGGCTTCAATTAAACATGACAATATAAATAAAACATGAGGCATAGTACTTGGTACATAGTAGCTCTTCAGTAAATATTAATTCCCTTTCCACTATTTCTTATAGAACATATGGAAAAATATTTAAGATCTATCAACAAACTTGAAAAACTTAAGGAAATACATGTTTTCTTTGGAAAATATAGATGACAAAATTAAGTAGAAAAGTTGAGTAGACCAATTACTTTTGAAGAATTTGAAAAAGTTTTAAAGATCCACCTGCTTTTTAAAAAAAGGCACCAGGACTCATAGCTATGCTATAGTATCTTTTAAAGAACAAACAATTCCAATGTAACTGAAAATGTCCTTGCTTATCAAAAAAAGAAGGAAAACTGTCTAATTCATTAAGGCTGGCATAACCTTAATGAAAAAATAAAATAGAATGAAAAAAACAAAACAGTATACTCTCCAAGGATCAAAACTGCTTTTGACTATTGATACAAAAACATCTAAATATTGGGGCCAGCATTTTGGTGTATCAGGTAAAGCCACTGCCTGGGCTGGTGTCCCATACAGGTGCCAGTTCATGTCCTGGCTGCTCCACTTCCAAATCCAGCTCCCTGCTAATGCACCTGGGAAAGCAGTGGAAGATGGCCCAAGTCCTTGGGCCCCTGCACCCACGTGGGAGACCTGGAGGGAACTCTTGGCTCCTGGCTTAGGTCTGGCCCAGTCCCGGCCATTGCTGCCATCTGAGGAGTGAACCAATGAATGGAAGACCTCTCTGTCTCTGTCTCTCTTGTGCTCTCTGTAACTCTGACTTTCAAGTAAGTAAGAAATCTTTTTTAGAAAGTTGAATATTAACAACCAGAATCCAGCAGTGTACCAAAAGAACTACACTATATCCTATGACCAAGCATACACTCCAAGCATATCAGGATGATGCAACATCAGCAAATAAGCATAATTGCTTACAAGATGAAGGAGAAAAAACAACTCTATTAATAGTTGCTCAAGTGTCTAATAAAATCCAGCATCTATACCTAATAAGGAATTATAGTAAAGTGGGACTAAAAGCAAACTATTATATACCAAAAATAGCAAATGTTCTAAATTATTATAAAGCCATTTACATTAAATTGAGAAAATAATAATTATGTCCACTGTCGCCATTTCTGGTAAACATGCTGAAACCTTTAGCAAAACAGTAAGATAAGGACAATGAGACACCTGGTATTACTATTTGAAAATAAGGGTAAACAATCACACAGAAAATCAGGAAATACTCATTTTTAATTCCATAATTAATAAAGGACTTTGGTTTGGTTGCTGAATATAAAATAAATATACAAAAAATAGACACTGCAAAAGCTAGCTATACAGGAAAATGGGCAAAATGTTATTCACCATGGCAATAAAATCTATAAAATACTTTAGAATAAATTTCACACACATAAGAATATGGTACCCTTAAGAGGAAAACCACAGGGGCTGGCATCGTGGAGTAGTGAGTTAAGCCTCCAGTGCTGGCATCCCTTATGGGTGCAGTTTCCAGACTCGGCTCCTCCACTTCAATCCAGCTAATGCACCTGAGAAAACAGTGGAAGATGACCCCAGTGCTTGAGCCCCCGCATCCATGTGGGAGACCTGTAAGAGCCTCCTGGTTCCTGGCTTTGGCATGGCCCGGCTCTAGGCCGTTGCAGCCATTTGGGGAGTGAACCGGCAGATGAAAGATGTTCTCTCTCTCTTTCTTTTCACCCCTCTCTGTAATTCTGCCTTTCAAATAAATTTTTAAAAATCTTTAAAAAAAAAGAGTAAAACCACAAAATTTAATTGAAGGATCTAAAACAAGAACCAGAAAATGAACAGAACTACATTGTTCTTGAATGGCAGGATTCAATGTAAGGCAACTATTAATTCTCCTAAGTTAATAGATAAATCTAGTGCAACTCCAATAAGAATCTCATTTTTTACTAATTAGATAGTGAAATTATCTTGGAATTCATTTGTTCATATGGAAAAATGAATGTCAGAAAAAGGAGAATTATAAAAAAAGTATTAACAGTTGGCTTGTAGCTATCCACCAGACGATAAGGAAGTGAAATATTCCTTTATGCCATATATAAAATCAAATTGCAGACAAATTAACCACTTCTAAAAAGTTAGAAAAAACCTTGAAGAAAATTCAGAAAAATTTAGAAAAATCTTGAAGTTGCAGCTCTTAAACTAACTCAAGAAACATAATGCAATTAAGGAAGAAATGTTTTGACTATAAATTTTAAAATATTTCAATAGCAAAAGTGTCTACAAAGTCAAAAGTCAAAAAGATAGATGGGGAAAATATCACATGTAACAAACAGACAGTTACTTTCTATTATATAAAAGCTCTTACTAATTTTTAAGGAAAAGGCAGACAATCCAGTAGAAAAGTAGACACGTCAGAGGAATAGATAATTTGCAGAGGAGCAAATCTAAATGTTCAGTAAATGTAGGAAAAGAAGCTCAACAGCATTAGCTATCAGAAGATTTAACTATGAAATACTACTTATCACTCATCTGACTGACAGAACTAAAATGTTAATATCCACTAGTGGCTGGGATGCAGGAAAAAAGGTATTCACACAATGCTTCTAGCACAAGGAGAATAATTAAAACGGTTTTGGAAAGCAGCCTAGCCACATCTATTGAAACACTATTAAAGAAAAAGCAACAATATATAAGGCTCTTTGTACCAAGATGTTTGTTGTGGCCTTTTTTGCAGTGGCAAAATCTGGAAATAAAGATTATAGCGGTCAATATGGGAATGATTAACACAGTTCCTTCACACCAAGGAATACTGTCCAACCATTTAATAATAATTACTTAGATCTATACCAATTCACTTGCAGAGTTTGCAACAATGTGTTAAGTGAGGAGATAAGAAGTAAAGAGATGGGGGCTGGCACTGGGGCCCAGTGGGTTAAACCATGGCCTGCAGTGCTGGCATCCCATATGGGTGCCAGTTCAGGTTCCAGCTGCTCCACTTCCAGTGCAGTTCCCTGCTCCCTGGGAAAGTAGCAGAAGATGGCCCATGTCCGTTGTCCCCTGCCACCCATGTGGGAGATCTGGAAGAAGCTCCTGGCTCCTGGCTTTGGCCATTGGTCATTGCAGCCATTTGGAGAGTGAACCAGTGGATGGAAGATCTCTTTCTCTGTCTCTCCTTCTCTCCTGTAACTCTGCCTTTCAAATAAATAAGTTAATCTTGGAAAAAAAAAAAACCAGAGAGGTGTCAACCTACAATGACAACCCATCCCATATTTACACTTTCTAAATTTATGTTTATATGAGAATGGAAAAACACCAGAGATTGTTAACATTGCTTGTGGGTGGGAAGGAACAGTATACCCTCAACTCAAGTAGCCATAATAATGATCCAATTTTTAAGAGAAAATTAAATGTTTTTGCCATACCATAAGTAGAAAATGTAGATGCAAAATTTTAGGTAAACTCCATTAACAATTATGTAAAACATTCCAAAGAAGAAAGATTAGCAAGCAGTAAAAACAGAAGATGATGACAGGGAAAGATGACTCTGTTAAGGTATAATACTCACAAGATAATTGTGCTCAATTAAAATCTACATTCAATGAATTTTGACAGATTTATGTACCTGTGTACCACTAATACAATTAAGCGATAGAACATTCTATAACACTAAAAAGTTCCCTTTGCCTCTTCCCAATCATCCCCCACCTCTAGTCTGAGGAAACTACTGACCTGCATTTTGTCAGTAATGGTTTTATTTGCCTTTTCTAGAGTCATGATTGAAGTTTAAACTGTATTTTCTCAATCTTGGATACTGTTAATGTATTTTGATTATTTCAATCACATTTCTTAGTTGCAAGCAATAGAAAACAACTCTGGCTGATTTAAGCATCAAAGGAATCTGTTGAAAGGATATGGGATAGAATCACTGGGAGACTGGAGAACCAAGTTTGGGGTTATATGGCCAGCAACAATGCTCCAAGTCATATAGTGTAACTGCTCTGGTGAGGAGAGCACCACAAGTTTCCTAAACTGTCTGTCCCAAAATAATGGTCACCACCACTACCCTTGCTGCCACTGCTGTCTTAGCAACGCTTTCTGTTGCCTAGAAAGGAAGAAGTATATGAAGTACATTTGCCTTCGGATATCCTTCTGCAATAGCCAGTGTCAGTGGGTGCACCTGAGTGTCATGGCATAGATCATGTGTCTGTCACACCTTAGCTGCCAGGGAGACTAGGATAACTAACACGTACGGTCTCTATAGTGGGAGGCATATGATCAACCCTTGTGTGATGGAGGAGTTCCCCAAACATTAGGAAAGGGTTAAAATGTGGATGGTTATGAAGAAGGCCAATATCTGAAAACTTTTCTGCGTGTGTGTGTTACGCTGCATTCTGAACTTTAGCTCAGTGTCTAATGGTCAAGACAGCAAGGCCACATTCGATAAGCATCCTCTGGGTGTGGAAGAGTCTGCCAGATGCTGAAAGTGGGGAAAAGACATCAAAGAAGTCACTGAAATAGAAACAGGTGCTTTGGCCTTCATACTTGCTCAAGGTTTTTCTTAAGACAATTTCCTTAAACTATAACCTACTAGTAAATTCAGTGTGTCTAAATTAATTTGACCCAGAAAAGAGCATAATGTATTAAAATTTTCCATAATTTTAAGTAATGAATTTCATACTTGTTCATAAAATGAATTTACCTTTAAGTATTAAGCTAAATATTTATTCAACTTAATATTCTGAAATCACATCACATAAACCTCAAGCTGTGTTCATTTCAACTTTTTAAGTTAACACAAAATTAGTGCAGTTTCTTTGCTGGTTCTGTTTACTGTCCTTTACTCTTTATTTCTGTTGACAGGGGCAGGGAAGAGGAGGTGGCCTGATCCAGGACGATGATGATGCAATGTTGAAGAATAAGTTGGAGGAGAGAAGAAACAGGCACCATGGAAAAAACCAAAACAAAGCAAGGTCAAATTTTTCTTACGTCTTCCTTTAAAGGCTCAACATTCAAGAAATGTAGGGTTTAATCTTGTATTGGCACTGTCTCAAAATATGACAATATATTAACTTGGACTATTCTCATTTCCCTACCATCATATAATGACCATGAAGAACATAGACTTGGTGCTGGAAACTGGGAAATATTGTACATATGTATGTGTATAATTTAGTGTGAGTTGTTATTTTATATATATATATGTATGTATGTGTATATAAATCAATAACTTTAGAACTGTTTCATAACAACCTGCTGAGTAAGGCCAAGATACGGCTTTAACTGACAGACAGCTGCACTTTCTAGGCTAACCTAGAAGCACGTGGTAGAGAACTCAGGCTACTAAAAAGTGTCAAAGTCTGAGATCCTGGCCTCTGTTTCCCAGTCCTAGGTCTTTGCCATTGTACAGGGCTTTTGGGATATAGTATATTATTTATGAATTTAGTGTAGTGAACTCTTTGCTAAAGAGAACTTTCCTATACCACCATGACTTAAGAAAACACCGTCTTTATCCACACAAATATTTGCGACCAGATATTTTGTTAGTAAACTGCTTGACTGAGGCAGTGTGACGTGATGGAGAGTAGCTAAATGGATGAGCAATGAACTGAATATTTTACCTGGTTTGCCTCATCTTCATGGCCAACTGACATGGTTCTGAAAGGTATATTCTAGGGCAACCATTTTTTCTCCCTAGGTTGTAAATGATTGTACCTGCTCCTTCCCTTGAGCTTGTCCTCTGCTTCTCAATCTCTAGTGCTGATAGTAGTGTTGTCTTTCTGCCTGTATCTTTCCCAGAAACTTTCCATTGCCAAAGCCTCCCTATCAGTTCTCTTGCCCAACAGCATTCCCTTAGCTGATCTTGGCAATGACAGAAGGACAGAGTTGAGATATTTGACAAGGATCATAGGAGAAGAAAGGGACATTTTATGGAATGCTGCTGAGATTATAAGTGTTGACTGGACAGGTACCTGGTGAAGAGCAGCCTTCCTGACCGTAGAACTGGCCCTTCAGGTGAACTTCAGTCAACCCCAAGAACATGAAGGAGACACTTCTTAGGCATTCCCTCTGGCTATTTAATGACCACTAATTATTCATTTTGTTGAGAAACTTATTCACATCAGTAGAACATTGATGTCTCCTCTAACAGTTTTATCAGGTAGTTATGGTTTGGGTCAGGATGTGAATTATAAGCACCACCTACCCAGCTTATATTTTGTTCCTCTTGAATCATTAGTTTCTTGTCATGTGCACTATCTCTGTGTCAGGCACAGAGAGAGGTTATATATGTTGCCTTGTTCCCTGCATGTATCTGAAGAGGACAGGGATAGAATGAGCTGTGTCAATTCAACAGCACTCTTTCTTCCTACAGGAGACAATGAGCACATGCCGGTGAACAATCCTGCCACGCAGATTTACCAGGTAAAGACAAACAGATTGTTCGAAGTGTTCCTGTGTGTACTAGTGATGACTGTCCTTTATGTATGGAGACTTTTAGCTCTTACAAGTGTTCCTGCATGCATCATTGCATTTGTTCTCTTCACAAGACTCTGAGATAGGCATGGCAGAGGGGACCATCTGTGTATTTCTGAGAGAACTGATTACAGAAGGACAAGTTATATGATTGATAAAATGCAGCACTGCTGCCCCTTCCCACTCTGCTTTTGTTGTCCTTTGCCACTATCACCTTGGCCATCACACTGCACAATAATATTTCCACTGGGAGAAGAGGACAAGTTCTGTTTTTCTTGGTTCCCTAGTCTAGCAGCAAGAATTAAGACTTGAAATGGCTAACATTGCAAAAGTTCAAATATTGTTGTGGGAAATATGTGTTAAGCTACTTATAAATGGCGGGCATAATTTAATTTACAAGGAAGATAAAAGTTCTGCAAAAATCTTTGCACCAAGAGACGTGTTTCTTGTTTGGCTTTCTAAATAGTACTTACTTGGCTTCTTTCTTCCAATTATAAATTCAATGTAAACTCTGCCCTTGAAAGTCATGGAAGTTTATTCTGACATAATTTGTAATATAAGAATAGCTTGGCATAGAAAAATCTATGCTCCTCTCTAGACTTCAGCCAGTGTTGTCTGGAATGCATGAAAAGGAAGAAAGAATTAACAGGGCTTTGTAGGAGTTGGGAGAAAGTGTTCTTTCAAAGTTGCTCTAAGATTTGAAGCCCTGGTAACCAGGAAGAGGAGTGATCTCTCAAGTAGAAATATAGGAATCCAAAGGAGTAGCTAGTTTAGGGGAAATGTGATTTACATTTGTAGAGTTTAAGTGACAGTAAAGTGAAAACAACAGTTAAGTTCCCAGAAATGTCATGCAAGTGATTGTTGCTGTGGACCCAATTAAGGAAAACCAGCACAGGACTGTGAAACAGTTCAACCATGCTCTTGGACCCGAAATGACAGAGTGTAGAGGAACCAACCCCGTTTCAATCTAACACATCTGTTTTGAGCAGTTACTTAGCCCAAAATCTACTTGTTGGCCTAATGGGATATTAAACAGATGAAATAGACATTGTCTTTGATTTTTAAGTATCCAAAACCTGGAAAAGACATACAATAAATAGCTCATCCAAGGCAGGTTATGAAAAGGATTAATGTAGAGACACTGGTAAAATTCTGAGGGAGGAATGAATGAGTATTGACTGGAAGATTTGAACCAGACAAGAGAGGACAAGTTGATCATCTGACCAGTGGATGTGGGGCAGGTTGTTTGAGGTAGGGGGCCAGCTTGTACAAAGGCGTGGAAGCAGGAGTGGGTCTTCACTCAGTGCTGGTTTGATGCCTCACTGGTCTAAGAACTTGCAATGCTTTCCCTGCCTGCATCCTTGTGTTCACATCTGACCTGTGTATGGCATCCGGATGAGTGTGGGTACCTCTTTAAACTCAGGTGTGATTCAAGGTCTGTTATAGATTTTATGTAGGTCACTCCCTGAATGTTGACTAAATATAGCTGCAGAGGGGATGGCCTCATTATCTCACTGTTTCGCAAATCTAAGTACATCTGTTCACAGTGGAACACATGATGTGGTGGAAATCAAGTTGGTCTATATGACCTCGGTGACACTGTTTTACCCCAATCTTGTTTCAAAAGAACTTTTCCTAACCCCAGTCTGTTTACTCCAAGCAACATTTAACCTAAAGATGAAGAAGGAGACCTAAAGAAAGAAGAAAAGGAAGAGGAAGGAGGGAAGAGGAGGGGAGTTAACTATAACAGAATAAAAATCTATACTAGAAAGAAGGATATCTGAATCAAATGAGAAATTTCACCAATTCTCCATCTGTTTATTTTATTTTCTTGATAGATTCTAGCCCTACCTGACATTATTGTATATGTTAACATGTTTATACTTTTGTTGTCTGTCTTCTTATCTAGAATGTAAGCTCTAAGGGCAGGGATTTAGTCCATTTTACTCTCTATTGTATTCTCAGCATGAAGTATAATGCTGGAATATAATACACATTCAATAAATATTAGTTGAATGAACAAATATCTATCCACAAGATATGTATATTGCTTTGAGCCAGAGGGTTTATGAAGTTATCCAATATGGTGCCAAACAGTGTTGGGAAAATTTTCTGATTATTTGGGAAAAAAAGAAGAGATCCTGGCTTCATAACCTAATAAAAAGCAAACTCCATAGTGGATCAAAGGGTGAGACATTTAAAAATTAAACAAAATTTGAGAATAAGTGAATATTTTGTTTCTGGATGTGAAATGTCTTTCTAAGTAAAAATTACTGGAAAGAAATCATAAAGAAAAGAGTTTGAGAATTCACCCACATTATCATTTAAATTTTTTCCAACATAAAAAAATTTAAAAAAATTCAAAGGCAAATAAATAATTGGAAAGATATTTACAACAGATATTTCAAAGCTTTAATGATAGATAAGTGCAGTTCACGAAGATTAAAAAAAAGGAAACTTCTGAGACCCCTGTAGAAAATGGACAAATAATGCAATTTACCAAAGTAAAATTATAAATGGCTAATAAACAGAAGAAAATATTGAGGCTCAAAGAATCAATGATGAAAATAAGAAGTATTATTTTTTGACTGCCTAATTAGCAAGTAATAAAATAATTAATTATCTTTAATTTTTGTGAGTGAATGTAAATGTGTAGACATTTTTAGGACTATTATTGGATTAAATGCAAAAAATGTGTTACAATGTTCAATTCATCACTGGCTCCCTGTCCCATAACCTTTGGGTAGATTTGACCTTGTTGATGACAGTAAGGCACAGTAACCCAAATCAAGTTACAGAATTTAGCAGGAGATGAGTTCATTCCAGATAAAATGAAAACCAGAACAGTGGAATCAGTGTGAATATTCCAACCTGTTGGATTTGAGGCTCAGTATATTTTTTCTTCTTTGAATTCAAATGTATTAATTTTTCTCTCATCTTTTGTCCACTGTACATAAACCTTTTGAAAAACATTGATATCTTTTCCAGAGTCAGGTAATTTTGTTTTACCCTTAAATAGTTCATTTTGCTTATGTATTTTTAAAATTATAATTCTGTTAACATGAGAAGGGGTCCCATCATTAAGGCAAGAGATGTGATATCATGCAGAATGTTTCAGAGGATATGCAACCATTAGCATTATAACTTTTCAAAACACCTGGCCAAATATATTTTGTATAAGTATAAATTAATTGAATATATTGCTCCCTGCAATATAATCTATTTTCCTTTGAGTCAAGTATTACCTATTATCTTTGACTCATAGTGATTTCATATACAGGAACTTATCCTAGGGAAATAATCTGAAATATATGCAAAGATTTAAGCAAAAAGCATTATTTAAAACATATTTCATTATAATATTAAAAAACTATAAACTATAAATTTTCAATAAAAATAAGGGGACAGGTAAACTCTGGCATATTCTATATGATGGAATACTTTGTAGCCACTAAAAATAGACTTAAAGAACAAATTGGAGGGACGGTATGGGGGGGAAGCCATTGTAATCCATAAGCCATACTTTGGAAATTTATATTCATTAAATAAAAGTTTTTAAAAAAAAGAACAAATTGGAAGGCTGTGGAAAAGGGCTTATAGCAATCTTAGATAATAAATGGAAGGGACAGTATAAAAGTGTATCTTTAGTGTAATTTCAGGCATATAAATTTTATATCTGCATGGACTAAAATGGAATATAAATGTTAATGGTTACATTGAAGTAATGAGATTTGGGATGATTCTTTTTTTTCTTCTTTATTTTTCTCTGTAATGAAGGTAAACTAAGAAAATAAGTTATCTGCCAAAAGGACTTCTAATTAAAAAAAAATGGGAACCAGTCCTACAGTAATAGGTTTCATCATCAAAACTGCCATTGAAAGTTTTCTAGAATTTGTAAGTGACCATTGAGCCTCAGTTTTTTTGCCATTGAGGAATGTCCTGCTAACATCAGAGAAGTTAACTCTTCTTGGCCTTTGGTGCATCCAGGAATCAGTAAAATGAATTTCCAGAATACCAGTCTTCACCCCCACTTCGAAAGGACCCATAAGGATGATTTTCAGGGACGACCTCTGCAGAGAATGTAGAGGAGTAAATAGAAAAATTTACTCTCAACATTCAACTCGCTGCTCATTTTGTCTTCTAGATCATTTTGTTGCTGGGGATCAATAAAGAGGCCTAAAACTTGCAGGTGGAATTTGGCAGAAAAACTAAGATTCTTGGTTTCTTCTTCATGGTTTAGGAGAAAACCCAAGCAGTTACCTTGGCATCCTTGCCATCATGTACTATTTCAAAAACACTTGGGCTTTTGCTGTTAGAGAATTGAGTGTTGTAGAAATTTGGCCTGCATTGTGGAAGTTTCCCAAACTTTGACATTTATGACTTTGTAGACTTCCCAAGGTACAGGCCAGTCTCTGGAATTTGCTTCATAGTAGCCTTCTGACCTTGATAATGTGGCAGAAAGGAAGGGGAAGTCTGTGTGAAAAACAGCAAGTGAAAATTGAAGCACATTTAGCTTTGAGGCCTGAGGGGTTTAGGTGGAAAAAAAAAATGGAAGACATTGACCAAAATTCATCTTAAGAAGAGTTAAGAAGCCAAAAAGAGGAAGGAAACCAGAGAAACAGAAATTAAGAGCAGGAAATAGGAAGAATTCGGACTCTCCTCCCCCATTTCTTTGAGCCTAAGAAGCCCTCTGTGGTACCCTAGGCCTCGAAGTACAAGTCTTCCCTGAACCTACCTCCCGTGGGAGCGCGCCTCCAGCGGCAGGATGGAGGGATCATAACCTCTCTAGAGCAGCTCCATGAAAAAATCAACGAGATGAGGAACGTGTTCAACTCGCTGGAGAACAAGGTAGAAACCATTTCTAATCCTTGGGGTGGGGTGTGGGATGTCAAATGAGAAAGCTCAAGAGAAAGCCAAGAAAAGATGTTAAGACACTGTCTTCCCGGTATTTTTTATTCACAAAGGAGTGGCCGGGTTGATCCTGGAACACAACACCAATCTGAAGTAGCTACAGAAATGAAGCGCCCTAAGCATCTTAAGAATGGCATGTTGTCTCAGGTGTGTCATTGACCTTAGGGTGGCTTCCCCTCCCTGGCTGTGAAGTTGTTCATAAAGCAGAAGAGTTACTTCAATAGGAAATACCTAAGGGGCTCGAAGAAGCTTGAGTGCATGGTGAGAACAGTGCTCACAGCTCACAACAGTTCCAGAGTTCCAAGAGTCCATGTAGAACGTGCCTGTTAGGGAATCATTGTGATGGTTCTTTTTTTTTGAGAGCTGGAGCTCTACAGGGGAGGAAAAATCTTTTACCCTAAGATTCTATTGTCGCTTTTTGACTTTAGGGGAAACTTCACACAAACACCTAAGGGAGCAGTGATGATGAAACCTATTTCTGTCGGATAGTGGTTCCCTTTTCTTCCCAAGTAGAAAACCAAAATGCATGTCAGGACACTGAATGCCAAGTTTACTTCCTTCAATTTTAAAACCTGCATACATTTTGCTTTGACTTTACGTAACCATCAGTGTTGTTTGTTTTGTTCATAGAAGATGAATTTACATAAAGAAAATTGCCTGATTAGAAAGTAGTTGATTTGGTGAGTTAAGCCATCATTATGACTGGATTAGGGCATGTGCCGAAAATCCACCATAAAGATTAATTATAAGTAAAAATGATTGGAATGAAAACCTATTCATACTACTTCCTAGTCTTCCTGTCCCCAAACACTTGGCAGGTCCTGCTTGGCGGTCCATCTTCAAAATGATCTTTTCGGGACCTCTTATTTACCCCTACCCTACCACCAGTTCTAGACAGCAGTCTGTTGGGAAGCACAGTGAACCGTGAAGCACTGAATTTTAAAAATATGATATTTTATAGTGGGAGGTGCCATTGCAAGCTGGAGTCGTTTGGACATCCTGATTCTGAAAATGTTTAGAAATGTACATTTGAAGGCCTTTCATTCCTTGGTGGAAGTTCTTAATGATAGAATAAACCTTAAACAATTCTGTTTTAAAGAGGGATGTGGAGCAAAGATCCTCTACTTAGAGTACAAGATCATAAATGTCAAGAAAGTAATGTTGTTATTAGCTTATTGTCATTATATTCTTAACTTACTGTCTGTTGAAAATTCTTTTTTTATTTGTTCAATAAATAAAACTGAATTTTAGAAGTGCTCCATTTTCTCTATATTTCTGTTTGTGCTTAATTTTCGACTTGCTGCCTACAGGGGAAAAGAATTAAAATTTATTGAACACACATGTACTAAGCATGTGCTGTGGTAGGCACCTTAGCTTCATTTACTAACTTAATTCTCAATACACCTCTGTGAAATAGAAACTATTAACTATTTTATGGATGAGAAAACTGCTAGAAAGAGGTTAACCAACTTGCCTAAGGTCTTAGTACTTGTGGAGAGGGCTAGGTTTTGTTCCCTATCTGACTCCAAAATTGACAGTTTTTCATGGTGTGCAATTTGACAATTTAGTTCAGTGTGTGTGCACTGCTACGTAACCAGGCTTGACTGCTGAAGATGATACCATTACCACCAACAGGCTGAGCTCCTTCCATTGTAGCTATTTTTGTGTCTTCCTTATGCATCAAAGCCCAGTGTCATTGAAAATGCAAGTACCTCCTTTAAAAAAAAGATTTATTTATTTATTTGAAAAGCAGAGTTACAGGGCAGGGGTGGTGTTGAGGGAGAGAGATAGAGATAGAGAGAGACAGAGATCTTCCATCTGCTGGTTCTCTTCCTGGATGGCCATAAGGGCTGGGGCTGGGTCAGGCAGAAGCCAAGAGCCTGGAGGGGCCCAAGTACTTGAATCATCTTGTACTGTTTTCCCAGGTGCATTAGCAGGGAGCTGGATTGGAAGTGGAGCAGCCAGGACTGGGACCCGTGCTCATATGGGATCCAGTTTTGCAGGAGTGGTCTAACATACTGCACCACTGTGCCAGTTCCAGAATAAGGAACTATTACCTCCTTTTTCATGGTGCCATCCAAGAATATTTTTTAAAATAGAAATAAAGTCGTCTTCATTTTCAAAGAAACTCTCAGTAATACTTAGTTGTTATTCTTTTTATCCTTTATTTTCATAAGGAAAAAAGACTGAATTTCCTTATCTTCTCATAATAACCAGGGAGAATATGGCCTGTCTATGTATCTTTGCACACTGAATTTCAAGAATTGCTGGATCAAGATTGTCTTATACATGAATATATTATTTTCCAAGTAAATCTCCTTTCAAAACAAATAGTAGCTTGCAGGAATAATCTCTTTTTAAAAAAGGTTTATTTATTTATTTGAGAGGCAGAATTACAGACAGAGGGAGAGACAGAGAGATCTTCCATCTGGTTCACTCTCCAAATGGCCACAATGGCTGATCTGAAACCAGGAGCTTCTTCCAGGTATCCCATGTGGGTGCAGGGGCCCAAGCACTTGGGCCATCTTCCTCTGCTTTCCCAGGCCATTAGCAGGGAGCTGGATGGGAAGTGGAGCAGCTGGGACATGAACAGGTGTCACATGGGATGCTGGTATCGCAGTCAGAAGCTTAACCTACTATGCCACAATGCTGGCCCAAGGAGTAATCTTAATTAATTGCTTACTTGTTTGTCACATATCAACATTTAGCATGTGCTGTATAAACAAGACAGTCTTCCCTACATGAATGAGGCCAAGGTTGCCTTCAGTTATCCAAACTTCAGTATACTAGTAAAATCTGTAAGTTTGCAGGAGCCTGATTGCTCAAACAAAAGAAAAATTCCAGGGACAAATGGTGCCATATGTAGTAATTTATAGCAAAGCAAATTCACTTGTCATGCCTTATTTAGTTGCAGGCCCTAGCCTCGGAACTCAAAACTGGATTCACAGAAGCAATGCAAGAACTGACAAGAATTCAGCATGGAGAATATGCTCTGGAAGAGAAGGTTAAGAGCTGCCGATGTTCCATGGAAGAAAAAGTTACTGAGATGAAGAATTCCCTAAACTATTTCAAGGTGGGCCCCTCTTCTAGTTCCCTGCTGAAAAGAGACTATTGGTCTTAGCAACAAGACTGGAAATCTTGCCTTTTCCCATAGCAGCCAAATATAAGAATTTTCTCTTTAAGGCCACTTACTAGTTATCATGGAAACATGCCTTTTTTTGTTTTTCTTTCTTGGAGCTCTTTGGTAAAATTAGGGGCCATATTAGAAGCAAAATTTTCTTTTCTCATTCATTCATTCAGTAAGTATGTATAAAAGCTTATATTGTATTAGATATTGTGTTACATAGTTTTACCCCATGTGCCAGTTTAAAAGTTAGCAACTTGTATTTTTAGGAAGAGCTGAGCAATGCCATGTCAATGATCCAGGCCATCACTTCCAAACAAGAAGAAATGCAGCAGAAAATCGAACAGCTTCAGCAGGAGAAGCGGAGAGAATCTCGAAAAGTTAAAGCTAAGTGAGTTCCTTAAAAACTCTAACAAGGTCAAGCATTTGGCTTAGAGATTAAGACACCAGTTGAGTAGTCTGTGTTCCAAGTCAGAGTGCTGAGTTCAAAGCCCCGCTCCACTTCCTGACACCAGCTTCTTGCTGGTGCCAACTCTTGCTCGTGCAAACCTGGTACAGCAGATGATGTATCAAATAGTTGGGTACCTGCCACCTCCGAATCAAGTTTCCAGCTCCTGGCTTCAGCTCTGGCCTGGCTCTGGTCATCATGGGCATTTGAGGAGGGAACCATAGGGTAGGAACTCTAACTGCCCCTATTTCTCTCTCCCTCTCGAGTAAATAAAAATTTTAAATATTTACCCAAGGTAAAACTGCTGCTCCTCCGCACGTGGAGGAGCCGCACCGGACCGGGCGCTTGTTGTTCCCTTTTTTTACAAGTCCTTTCTATAGTAAAGTAAGAATAAGTAAACAGCAAACTCCCAAAGCAAGAATGAGTAGAGAGAAATGAGAAAGAACGAAGTAACGAACTTCCCCGCGAACTCTCCAACGCACTCTCCAACCAACCCACACCACCATGCCGTCTCTCTCCTCCTATATAGTCCTCTCCACCAATCCCAACTCGGCTGCCCACACGCCGAGCACGCCGCTCTCCTCCAATCAGGAGCAGCTCCTGCAGCTTGTCAAGTTGGTGAGAGGCAGCTGGGTAGAAGCTGTTTACTTCTCTCCCAGCGCCATATTGTGGGAGAGCAGATGCATAGAATAAATCTTAATTCCAGTAACAGTATAGTCCGAATTGCTCCCCACAGATCCCCCTTTCTTTTTATTTTTTGGCGTTGATATGCGCCTGTGTAAAGTTCAGTGTGATCTTCATGCTATTGACTCTTGTTTGTCGTGCTACTTCAGAGTTTGTTGAAAAATGTCCCGTATTCCAAAGATCTCAGGGATTGGTTATTCATTGTTTTCTTCCTCAAATGGAGTTTTCTTCTTCTAGATCTTCTGCTGGCAGGTTTATCAACCGAATTCTTCTCTCAGGGGTCCATATTGGTTGTGCCGCACCCTGTGGAAAAAAACAAACGGCGCCTCGTACTCTTCTGAGTAAGGGGAACGGGCCTTTCCATTGGTTGTCCTGTAAATCCTTCCACATTACCCACTGTATTGATTCCTTATCAGCTGATTGAGTATGCATTTCTGCAGGTGTTTTACCGTTCTTTTTCTTGTTCAAAAAATTAATTGTATAAAGAGCTAGGGCCAAGACATCCTTGTTGGATGTGGCCATTTCCCCTATTCCCCCTTTTTGTTTAATTATTAAATTTTTTAAATATAAGTGAGCGCGTTCTACCACAGCTTGCCCCTGTGGATTGTATGGAATACCGGTAATATGGGAGATTCCGAATTCTTTCAAAAATGCAGCAAAACGCTTTGATGTATACGCTGGGCCGTTATCCGTTTTGATCACATGAGGAACTCCCCAGGCTGCAAAAGCCTGCAAGCAGTGTTGGATTACTTGTTGTACTCCTTCTTTATTCATGGCTGTGGCCATAATTACACCTGAGTATGTATCTACAGTGACGTGAACACAGCTTTGTCGCCCAAAAGAGGGGATATGTGTAACGTCCATCTGCCAGATATGTCCTGGTTTAAGGCCACGGGGATTGGCTCCCGCAGGAATCTTTGGAACTATGGTAACAACGCACTTTTCACAGGATCTAATGATATCTTCTGCTTGCTTGCGGGGAATATTAAATTTAAAACTTAAAGTGTGGGTGTTAACATGCCATTTAGAGTGATATTCTTTAGCTTGTTCCAAAGCGGTGCATGCAAGCAAGAATCTTGAATAGTGATCTGCCATCATGTTTCCTCGAGTAAGTGGGCCAGGTAAATTAGAATGAGCTCTTATGTGGCCTATGTAAATAGCATGCTCTCTTTGATTTAATAACCCCTGAATTTCACTTAGATAAGAATAGACTGAGGAGGATTTAAGAATAAGGCACTGTGTAGCGAGCATCTGAACTGCATTCACCACATATGCACTATCAGACAAAATATTCATGGGTGCACTCTCTCTGCGTAATACTGTTGCGATAATAGCTAATTCTGCATGTTGTGGAGAAGGGGATGCTGTTAAAACAAAATATCGTTGATTGTTAAATATAGCTGCTCCTGTTCCGCCTTTAGCTCCATCCATAAATACGGTAACTGCCCCTTGAATTGGATCCCTTCGCACCTTCTGCACCCGTTTTATTGAAACCTGTGTGCAGAAGTTAACAAATGGATAGCGAGGGTAGTGATTGTCAATCTCTATTTGTAGAATGAGAACTATGTATGCCCATTGCCAGCATTCCCTTGTAAAGGCTTCTACTGCCTCTTCAGCAAAGGGAACTACACATCGCTTTGGAGTCTTCCCCGCCATTTCTGTAGCCTTTTTTATTGCTGTTAATATTAAATCAGCCACCGCAATGCCTTGGGTGTATAGTACACGTGGTGCATGTGAATGTGGGTATACAAACAACAAGGGTCCTCCTTGCCAAATGACTGCGAAGGGATACAGCTGTTCCATAAAAATTAATATTTCTAGGGCTTGTTGTGGATCACATCTTTCCATCTGCATTGCTTTAATTTGTTTTTCGATTTTCTGTAACGCCAAGTGGGCTTCTATTGTCAATCTACGAGGGGAATCAAGCTGGGCATCTCCTTCTAAAATATTGAATAATGGCATCATATCTTCGGTAGTCAATTTACAATAGGGCCTCAACCAATTTAAATTGCCACATAATTTTTGGAAGTCATTAAGGGTCTGTAACCCATCTATTGCAATTTCAAATTCTAATGGGGTTACCTTTTCAGAAGTTACTTTAAGTCCTAAGTACTGTACTACTTCCCCTTTTTGTATCTTCTCTGGCGCTACTTGTAACCCAACTTTTTCCAAATATAATAGCAACAGCTTATATGCTTCCATAAGGTGACTTTCACTTTCAGCCGTTATTAACAAGTCATCCATGTAGTGTAAAATTTGTACTTTTGGGCACTGTTGTCGAACCGGCTCTACTGCCTGGTCAACATATAGCTGGCATATGGCAGGACTGTTAGTCATTCCTTGGGGAAGCACTTTCCATTCATCTTTTGTCGGGACCTTGATGATTAATGGAAGGTACGGTGAAAGCAAACCTCTGAATGTCTTGTTCATGTAGAGGTATGCTAAAAAAGCAGTCCTTCAGCTCGAGTACTATTAATGGCCAATGCTTTGGGATCATAGTAGGAACCGGGAGTCCGGGTTGTAATGCCCCCATGGGTTGCATCTGCTGATTAACAGCCCGTAAATCATGCAACAACCGGTATTTCCCCGATTTTTTCTTTATCACGAATATTGGCATATTCCATGGGGAGGTTGATGGTTGCAAATGGCCTGCCTCTAATTGTTGTAACACTATATCATTTACTGCAGCCAACTTTTCCTGGGTAAGGGGCCACTGTGGTATCCACTTTGGCTTGTTGTCCAGCCATGACAATGGCAGCGGCTGCATCTCAGTGGCCCCCATGAAAAACCCGTGTCCTGTCTTTTAAAATCGCCTTTGGGCTGGGCTAGGTCCCTTCTGCCTTCTCTGGAGCCTAATCCTCTCTCCTGATATCCCTTTTTATACATAATACGCCGTCCTGTAGAACTCTCCAATTGGTCTTCATTGGTTAATGTCAGTCCCAATTGTTCTAAAATGTCTCTTCCCCATAATGTGATGGGGAGTGCACTAACATAAGGTTGCACATTTCCCTTGTTCCCTTCTTGATCCTGCCAACGAAGCACCTGAGCACTCCTTGATGGTGTCATGGCTGCACCTAGGCCTACTAAAGTATTATCTCCTGGCTGAAGGGGCCATGACTTCGGCCAATCATTTTCCGAAATTATACTTACATCCGCACCTGTGTCTAGCAGGCCCTGAATCGACTTTCCTCTAATGGTTAAGGTCCACAGAGGTCGATCTGCTAGAGATAGGGACAAGGCTGCAAATTTCTCCCCTTGGGGTCCATTAACATCCTGCGCTCCAATCATGATCAGTATTTGAGCCACAGGTTCTTCTGGTTTGATTTGAATAATACCCTTTGTAGATTGTATTAGCACTTTTAACTTATCACAAGGTAATTGAATGACTCCGGTGATGACCATTAGGCCTCTCAAAGCATTTGTTTCTTTTCCTACGATTATTCCAAGTCCGTTATGCTCCGCTGAAATTGTTTCTGCCCTCACCTCTATGGCTTGTGGCCCCATTTGAGGTGTCAGTACCGAATATTCGGTGGCTCGTAACTCTGCGCGGTAAATATTTGGTTTTGGGACCGTGGCACCCACCGATTGTTTTGGCCCCGGGGTGCAGGGGCCCACATTCCGTTTTTTTGCTGTTGACCATATACACCTGATCTTCTTATGGGGCCCGGCTCATTTGGCATCCTCTGGGGATTGCCTGCGCTGTTTATTTTAAAGTAACATTCACTGACCCAATGATTTCCTCTTCTACAGCGTGGGCAAAGGCCTGGTCTTCTCGAGTTCTCTATGCCCTGCCGATCTCGGGCTGGAAATCTGGCCCTACATTCCCTCATTAGATGCCCTTCTCGACCACATCTAAAGCATATATGTCCCCTCATGTTCTGTCTAAATTGTCGGGTTACTGCTACTGCAGCATGTGATCCAGAAACTACATCATCCATGACATCCCTACAGATTTTCAAAAAGGTAGGGATGTCCTTATGCTGCCATGGTCTAAGAGCTTCCCGACATGTTTTATTGGCCTGCTCATACGCCAATCTTTTGACTAAGGGCATTGCTTCTTCCACGGTTTCGAAAATGTTTCCTGCTGCTTCCATTAATCTGTTCACGAAATCAGTGTAAGGTTCAGTAGGGCCCTGTACTATCTTAGTTAGGCTGTGTCTTACTTCTCCTTTTCTGGGTATCACCTTCCAGGCTCTTCTTGCTATCTCTCTCACCTGTAAGAGGACAGCTGTTGGTAATCGGGCCTGCTCATCGGGACTAGCAAATCGCCCTTCTCCATTTAACATTTCCTCATCCCATGCTTGATTCCCTGTTTGATAGTTCTGCTTTGAATATTCTCGTGCAAATTCTTTATAAGCGGCTAACCACAAGAGGAAGTCACCCCCGCCTAACACCGCCTTTACTAAGTTTCTCCAATCCTCAGGTATTAGGCCTTGCTGCCCAATGTTATCAAGGATTGCCTGAGTGTAACTTGCATGGGGCCCATACAATTGTACTGATTGCTGCAACTCTTTAAGTAATTTATGGTCAAGAGGCGTCCATCCCCTGTTTCCCTGTGGATCCTGAATTACAGGAAACACCTGGCCTGGTTCCTGGTACTGCTCCCAAGCAGGTTTTCTATAAACAGCTCCCCTTTGCTTGTTTTCGGTTCTTGGCCTTTCTAGCTCCTCCTGCATACCTACTCCCTCCATCACTCCTTCTTCCTCCCACTCTTCTTCAATCTCATATGGAAAAAAGGGGCTTTTCTTTACAGGGGGAAACTTTGGTAGTACCAATGGGCGATACCGGGGTGGTGATTCATCCTTTATGGTTGAATTTGCCAGCCTTGTATGGCCAGGCATCTCTCTCGGGGGCGAGGTTCCCTCCTCAGCTTCCTTCTCCCCCCCATAAGCTTCCTGGCTCTCTAAATCCTTCTTTGATTTTCTTCTCACTTGTTCGTTACAATAGTTGCTCGCCTGGCTGCCCTGCCATAATTCTTCCTGCAATTCACTCCTCTCATTAAGCAACAACTCGATCCCTTCCGTGGGGTTCTGAAGCACCTGATCAATGAGTTGCCACAGCTTCAGCATTTCTATCGATTCCCCAGCCTCGCGCATTTTCCGTCCCACCTGCCTCCACTGCTGTAGAAACCAGGGGGACGTCTCTACGACTGCTCTTACGAATGCATGAATTTTCCTCCCCCCTCGTTTCCCTTGCTTAGAGGAAAAGCTGCGAGGAGGTGGGGAGTAGGAAGAGAGAGAGAGAGAAACCACATTCAGCCCATAATGGATGATCTTTAGGGAGAAACAGAGGATGGTGCCCAGCAGGAGGAAGAGGTAGCCAGTGGGCAAAGAGTAGCCAAAGAACTCCATTGTCTGTACCATCTGTGACATGTTGGAGCAGTGGGCGTAATGGAAGACTGAGTCTCCCAGACGTTCCCAGTTAATACCTCCTTCCTAGCTTCTAATTTTCTTCCCCCGCGGCTTTTTTCCTAGGTTCTAACTAGCTTTTCACCGGCACTCTTTCCGTCCGGCCTTCCCCTAGGCTCTTTGCTAGTCTCTCTCTCCAGTAATTTCCCACTTCTTCCCGGTCTTTCCCTCCTAGGTTTCCTATCCGAGTCACGGCACCACTTGCTGCTCCTCCGCACGCGGAGGAGCCGCACCGGACCGGGCGCTTGTTGTTCCCCTTTTTTTACAAGTCCTTTCTATAGTAAAGTAAGAATAAGTAAACAGCAAACTCCCAAAGCAAGAATGAGTAGAGAGAAATGAGAAAGAACGAAGTAACGAACTTCCCCGCGAACTCTCCAACGCACTCTCCAACCAACCCACACCACCATGCCGTCTCTCTCCTCCTATATAGTCCTCTCCACCAATCCCAACTCGGCTGCCCACACGCCGAGCACGCCGCTCTCCTCCAATCAGGAGCAGCTCCTGCAGCTTGTCAAGTTGGTGAGAGGCAGCTGGGTAGAAGCTGTTTACTTCTCTCCCAGCGCCATATTGTGGGAGAGCAGATGCATAGAATAAATCTTAATTCCAGTAACAGTATAGTCCGAATTGCTCCCCACAAAAACCATAGCAATGGTTTGTATGGAGATACCAAGAACAGATTTCTCCACTATATATTTATGCAGCTAGCTAGCTATGGTGCTCCATGAGCCAGCACATAATGGAGGTTATAGAGCCACAGAAGTTGGTTGACATAAAAATGGATGGTAGCTATTACATAGAAAAATGCATTTAACAAAATATAATGTGAAACAAAAATGATATAAAATGGCATGTATACTTGGGTTACAACTGTAAAAACTCATATAGACAACTGGAATAACTTGAATAACAACTTGAAAGATATATATTTTAAAATGATTATTGTATTAAGATAGTGGGTTAACCAATGATTTTCTTATAAGTTTTCTAAAACTTTTTTAATGCTATTATTTTACTTCCATAATGAAAATAAATTTGTTAAACCATGTCTCAACCAAATATAATCAAGTTAAATTTCTCTACTGAACAAATATAATCTTTATTATCTTAATATTATAAAATGTAAAATAGAAATATGGAAATAATATTAGTGTGATCCTAGAGAATGAGCTGTTGTTTTCAGTTGAAGACCTTCTGTCTGTCTCCTAGTACCTTGAGGTGCTTTGTTATCCCAAGCACAATATCACTACTAAAGATCCTGATGGTAGAGATGTCAATAACAGAAAAATAAGAATGTAGATACTATAATTAGAAAAGGATTTGTAGAAACTTGAAGTTTTTTCCTCCAGCTGATGAATTAAGTTGAAAAATATGAATTGCTGGTATTGGATCATTTTTTATTTACAAAAACAGCAATTTATATATTTCAGACATTTTCCTAAGTTGTTCTGAACTGAATCACCACCTTGCCTATTATGTACTAAGAATGTAAACAGTCTTGTCTACATTTCTCTTCCCTAGGAAAACTCAGAAAGAAGAACATAGCCCACAAGCTGGACCTGCACAAGCACAGGGAAGTCCTTTCCGTTCCATCAACATCCCAGAGCCTGTCCTTCCAAGTGAAGATTTTACCAACCTTTTGCCTTCTCAGGCCTATGAAAAAGGTACCATTCACAAAATCATATTGATCTAACCATGTGTGTTTTCATGATTCCTAAGGCTTAAGTAACAAGTCCTCTGTCTTTACTAAAGGAAAATGGTGTGTTGCCATTTTTTTCCCTTCTGTTATTGAATTTACAAGGATTCAGAGGATCTAAGAGAACATGAGCATGTTCTGAATTTTAATGATTTTCTCTTTGGAGGAAATACAATCTGAGTTCTTCTAAGTTTCAGTTGAATTAAAAGCAATTTGTTGCACAATCAATATTATACATCCCATAAGTGAGAATATTTTTTAAAATAGTCATTCTAATAAAATATGTTATTGGTGATGTAACTGAGTACCTATCTTTCTCTGAAAACCAGATCTGGTGCTGTCTTTTGGGCTGAAACAGTAACCAGACACATCCCTAATCCTGTTAGGATAGAAATTAGGAGATGGCGTTCAAGAGTACTGAGAAAACTGGCTTTTCTAGGAATCTTAGTTGTTGAGTTATATTGAACTCAGGAAAAAGAAGCTAAAAACGTTTGCTATGTCTTTGTAGACTCAACAAAGCACCTCTACACAGAAAAAGGGAAGGAGATATTGTCATTGTATAGATGATCTTTCTTCTTCCTCTTTGGTCTTATGTAGAAAGTACTAAAAAGATAGGCTCAATAATTTTTCACCAAGTGTGAATTCCTCAAAAACGGGGTAGGTGATTTTCTTTTTTATTGGGAATGGAGCAATTTGGTTTATACATTCACAGATAATAAGCTTGCTCTGAGTAACTGAATCTAAAAACCTAAATCAAATTACTTTTAATGGGTATGCTTCAAAGTAAAGATTTGCTTTTCTAAATGTGATTTTTAATTTTTTTACCCATTGAGTAGTTATTTTAGAGACTGACAGGCACAGCCTGGGAAAACTTGATTCATCTGGTGAGTGGATCCAGTGCATGGCTCTACTTTCCGTATGACATGGAGAGCAATGTGTACTTGTCAAAGGTGGTACTTGCTTGGGGAGAATACAGGATGAGCTTGGAAAGTAAAAGTCAGGTCAAGGCCAGGTCAATGACAGATAAACATGTTCACAGATGTAAAATGAAAAATTGTATTTGTAAAGCAATTTCTGTATCTTTAGTCCCCAGGGAAAAGAATAGTCACAGGATTTGTTGAATCCATTGAAAACAGCTGATCCAGATAATTCCAGTGTCCATATGGTTTTTTTTTATTAAAGATTTATTTATTTATTTAAAAGTCAGAGTTACACAGAGAGAGGAGAGGCAGAGAGAGAGGGGTCTTTCATCCGATGGTTCACTCCCCAGTTGGCCGCAGTAGCTGGAGCTGTGCTGATCCAAAGCCAGGAGCCAGGAGTTTCTTCTGGGTCTCCCATGTGGGTGTGTTAGGGTCGAGCAGCGTCCGCCGAAGGAACGACTCCAAGAGACACTCTCATGCAATCAGCAAAGGGTTTATTCAGACCAGCATGCTGGGGCTCTCTGAACATGCAGGAACAGAGCAGCCCCGAGGAGTTGAGGGTCAGGGTTTTTATAGGGTTTTCAGAGACATTCTATACATCATGGTACCATCTAGCAAATCATCTCATCCCGCGGGAAATTCAAAGCACATCTCTTAGAATTGATTAGTGCATCCAGTGGCAGGAATGGACCTACTAAAGTGGTTGGATGGCTTTGGGGTTGATGCCTTTTGAATGATTGGCTGAAGTATAGGGTCCGAGCTGATGGGGTGTACGTGCTGAACTGCAGGGTCTCAGGTAGCTATCAATCACCTTATCTGCCCTGAGAAGACACCAGAAACTCTAGGTATTTCTCTGTTATCTTCTAATCGGCTGTTGCTAGGAGAGTTTATCACAAGGGGAGTTCATTTATTTACTTTTAGGAGCTTCTGGCTCAGAGTTCAGGGCCTGGTCAGGCGCAAGTTACAAGATGGAGGCCTAATTAAAATAGTTACACCTTGATCCAGGCTCAGGTCTCACAGGTGCAGGGGCCCAAGGACTTGGGCCATCCTCTACTGCTTTCCCAGGCCATAGCAGAGACCTGGATTGGAAGAGGAGCAGCCAGGACTAGAACTGGCACCCATATGGGATGCCAGTGCTTCAGGCCAGGGCATTAACCCGCTGCGCCGCAGCGCCGGCCCCCATATAGTTTTAAATTAGCTGTTTGGTTCCTTCCTGCCATAAAGATGTGGTCATAGTTTATTCTACTGAGTTGCTTCAGAAATTTGGTAATAATGTGCCATAATAAGATATTCTAGATACAACTGGTAGCAGCTGTTGTTAAAATTCAGGATTGGGGCTGGTGCCGTGGCTCACTTGATTGGTCCTCCACCTGTGGCACTGGGTTCTGGTCCCGATTGCTCCTCTTCCAGTCCAGTTCTCTGCTGTGGCCTGGGAGGGTAGTGGAGGATGGCCCAAGTGCTTGGGTCCCTGCACTCACATGGGAGACCAGGAGGAGAGACCTGGCTCCTGGTTTTGGATCAGTGCAGCACCAGCTGTGGTGACAATTTGGGGAGTAAACCAACGGAGGGAAGACCTGTCTCTCTGTCTGTCTCTCTCTCACTGTCTTTGACTCTACCTGTCAAATAAAAAAAGAAAACCAACAAATCAGGATTAAAAATTCAGACTTTCAGAAATTGGCTTGCCCACTCTTAATTATAAAATGGCTCCACTGTTATCTATTACCCCCAAATGCAGTAGTTTAAAATAGCAAACGTTTGTTATTTCACATTTTCTCTGTGTCAGGAATCTGTGTAGCTTAGCCGGCTGCCTTTGGCTCAAGGCCTCTCAGGAGGTTGCCATAATGGTGTGAGCCATTGCTGTCATCTCATGTGAACACAGGCAGCTGGTGTCTGCTAGAGCAAGTGATCTAACAGAATGCTCAAGACAGAAGCCACAGTCTTTTTTTTTTTTTTTAATTTAAAAGCAAGATTTATTAGAGTCAAAGACCTCCAGCCAGAGTAGCATGGAGGGGGCTCCAAGAGATGGAAAAACTGGAAGGGGTCAGTGGTACTGGAGTTTTTAAGCACAACTTTGGGGAAGAAAAAAACTTAACATTCAGTTACAAGGCTGGGACAAAACCCAACAAAAGATCTGATTTGCAATCTTTTATCCTATCAGGCTTGCTCATGACAAAACAAAAAGAGCCATCAGAAGGATGGGATACCTAATTTACTTTATAATAAACTAGGAGCTCAGAAGGAATTGTCACTCCCTTGCTATTCTCATGATAAGATAGGAAGCTTTCAAGGAGTGGGCAGGCAGGCACTTTTGACCTTGCTAAAGATTTTGCACCACTGGGATCACCCTGACTACCTATTAACCTATCTGACTCCTCACATTCCACCCCCAGAAGAATGGACCCTAACTTCTGTTAGGGGAACTGGGAGATGTCTGCTCTGGTTGCTTCCTGCTGAAAAGGGCGTCTTTGGGAATGGCAGTCAAGACAGGGTTGCAGCAGGTGGTGGTGTCTCAGCAGGAGGTGGCTTTTTGAGGAGATGCAGTGCCAGCTTGCAGAAACTGCTTCCATCCAACCTTTCATGTGCATGGCCGTCTAGGATTTCACTGTATCAAGTCTGGAGAAAACGAATCTAACAAGCAGATCAAACTTACAGGGTCTAAAACAAAGAACAGAATCATTATTAGAGGACCTCAGAAAGTTGCTGTCTAAACAACAAATAGATACCAACAGAATGGGCCTGATAACAATCAGGTGGGCTGTCAGGCCTGATCAGCTGTGAGGCTCAGACCTCTCTCTCTTCACATGGGGTACCAGAAGAGACATCATAGAGATGTGAGCCTCCTTGGGGAAAGCACCCTGTTGACTTTCATTACCGAGCTGGCCTGAATAGAAGATAGGTGACATCTCTAAAAGGAAATTTACAGTTCTGCCTGCAATGTTACTGACCCTACTTGGCCATCCCCTCAACAGCAGTGGTTTCTTTGGAAGCTGGGCTGAGTGAAGGGCTTTTCAGCTAAGAGCCAACATGGTATGTGGTTCTGAACTGGGAGTCCTTTGGCTCCAGGGCAGTTCCATTTCCAGTGACCCAACTCTTGGCTTGCAGAGCTGCCAGGGCTCTTCATAAGCTGACTTCTACCGAAGCCCTGGTTTTCCATATCGAAAACCAATGCCATTTGCAGTGGACTGACCTGTTAGTTCTCCTTGATGGCAGATCACTGTGAAAGCAGCCATTAATTGGCCTGCCACCTACCTTTTCATTGCTTCTGCTGCCTAGCTTCTTCTTCCTCATGGTTTCTGTTAAAACAGACCAGAGGAGACCTTTAAGAGGATATAAGTCAAGGGGGTGCTCAGTCCCATTCCTAATCTTTGGCAGCCTAAGCTAGGAATCTACAATCATAGGCATATTCTGATAGTGGTTTTTCTGTGTTGTAGACAATGCCCATGAGGAAAGCTATGGGTTCACTTTAACATCAAACATGATGACCATCTTATCTATAAAATTTGAACTCATTATTAAAGCTTTCTCCCCCTTCATTTGATTTGAAAAGGGAGGTTTTGCCTGTTTATTGTGCCCATGGCAAAGTAAATCTAGCTCTGAAATCAAAATTTAAACTCTCATTTTGGCTATGCTATTATTACAGAAAAATGTCAGCCATCCCTTTTTAAAAAAAATATTTATTTATCTGAAAGGCAGAGTTACAGATAAGCAGAGGCTGAGGCAGAGAGAGAGAGGGAAGGGAGGGTAGGTCTTCTAGCCATTGGTTCACTCCCCAGATGGCTGCAACGGCCAGAGCTACACTGGTCCGAAGCCAGGAGACAAGAGTCTCTTCTAGTCTCCCACACGGGTACAGAGACCCAAGGACTTGGGCCATCTTCTGCTGCTTTCCCAGGCCATAGCAGAGACAAGGTTTGGAAATAGAGCAGCCAGGACTCATGCCCATATGGGATGCTGGCACTGCAGGCAGTGCCTTTACTTGCTATGCCACAGAGCCGACCCCAGCCACTCCTTTTATAAGGTTTAGAGATCTAACCATACATCTTAATGGAGA